ATCGCGGGGCCGCCCGCCTTTCCTGCATGCCGGCTGCAGCCCAGCCGAGGCCTCGACCGCCTGGACTTGCCTATGACGATTCGCTCTGTCCATCGACCCTTTGAGGACCGAGAGAGGCAGGAGCTGGGCAGCCCTGACGAGCGGCTGCAAGACAGCAGTGACCCGGACACGGGCAGCGAGGAGGAAGGTGGCAGCCGTCTGTCTCCGCCCCACAGTCCACGAGGTGAGACCCCGGCCAAAATGTGGCAGAGAAGTGGGGTGCAACCTGGGTTCAGACCCTGGGGCTGTGGCTTCCAAAGGGAGTCTGCGTCCTGGAGCACAGGACCCCCAGAGCCGAGCAGGAAGGTCCCTAACTAACCACTGAGGCCTACAGTCACTCTCGAGAGGGACTCGAAGGACTTCCTCTTTTGGCTGATGGTGAAACTCCAGGAAGCCAAGAATGTAGGGGCCACTCCTTCAACAACAAGTCGGTGATTCCCAACCTTTTCAAGTAGAAACGGATTTTTTTTTTAAGTACGAAAAAAAAAATGTCAAAGACCTCCAAGTTCTTACAGTTGGTTCAGGAAATACAAAACAGCCAAAAGCTACTGTAACACCATCTTGTAATCTTAAAATAGTTTGTATTTCATGACTCAAACTGTATCTTCGTATACTTACAGGGCGTACAGAGTTAACTAGGTGTGGGCACATTCCTTACTCCCACGGAGGTTTTTCCCTCACCCAGGGATTCACAGACCTCGCCACTCCTCACAGCCCAAGTGGGGGAGGCACGTGTGTAGGGGTGCCGTTGCTCACCCACTAACTTTGCCCCGTCCCCCTCAGATTTCACCCGGATGCAGGACATCCCAGAGGAGACGGAGAGCCGCGATGGGGAGCCTGTAGCTTCCGAGAGCTAAGGGCCTCCCCCCACTCCCTGTGCCACCGAAGAACATTACTGAGGGAGGCAGACCGTGGGGACTGCAACCTGCCGGTGACCAGGGAACTTTTGAAAGAACTGCTGACTGTTCTTGCCAGCTCTTGGGATCCTTGCATACCTGGGGCCATTTAGGAAGCTGGGGGAATTAGGCCGCAGTGCCCCCTGGTGGCATCCAGAAGCGACACCACAGATGCCAAGCTTTCATGCCTTCTCCCCTCTACTTTAGGAAAATTTATTTATTTATTGTTTATTACCTATGGAGGGAGAGGGGAGATTTAGAGGACCAGGGACTTGGGAACCAAGCCATAGGGATCAGGGGGGCCCTGTCCTTGAACACTACTGGGGTTTATTCAGGCTTAACCATGCGGCCGCTGGGTTCTAGCCCTGACACCTGCCAGCAACACCCTCTTGGAAGGGAGGCTGCAGCCACAGGACCCTTCCAGAAGGGCTGTGGGCAGGGCCAGGTCCCTCTCCTTCTCCCCTCAACCTTTCACTGCTGGTCTCCTACTGTCCGTCCTCCGTGGAACCCCAGGGAGATAACCTGGCTTCCTGGAGGTGATAGAATCGAGGTTGAGGTGGCCATAATGGTCTGTTGGGGGTTGAAGGGAAAACCCACAGGGACCAGAATGTCTTTTTGTTATTGTTTTCTTTTTTTTGTACCAAAGCCAACTGCACGTGTTTTATATTTTTAAGAGAAGATTGTAGGCAATTAGAAATTGCAGCCTTCTATCTCCAAATCCCTGAAGAACTTGAGGGGCAGGGGGAGCTATGACTTCTTCCCCCTCATCTATAGTAATGGGGGACCTAGTCTGACCTCTTCCCCAGCCACTAGCAAACAAAGTTCCAGGGTGAGTTGGGAAACCTCTGCAAACCCTAACTTCACCCTCACCTCAGCAACCATGACCTGAAACCTCAGCCTGAACTTGGGGGATTTTTTAATGGGCCCCCAGTGCCCACCAGCCCCAAACCTTTTTCTGCCAATTTGATTGTAAAAAAAAAAAAAAAAAAAAAAAAATGAAGACGAAAAAAGAAAAGCATAAAGCAGAGAAAATTAAAGACCTGGAACCCCATGAAGTGCCCTGTCTGAAATGTCTGCCGGTTCTGAGGGGGCTTGAGCCCGGTGGTGACCTGTGTTCCTCCGGCAGGAGCCTTTTCCTCTCACAGCCAGCCAGCCTCCCTGAAGACGGGGCCCTAACAATAGAAACCATTGCAAACCTTTTTTGGTGTCGTTGTTGATATTCACAGACAAGGACTAAAACGAAGGGCTCCTTGGCCAGGTTCTGGTGGCTGTTGGCGATTTCAGTATTAGAAAACTTGTTTTCATCTCATTTGCATGCCATGCTCAGAAGCCCCACAGCCTCCTGTCCCCTCCCCTTTTGGCACAGTCCTCCGAGCCTCCTCCCAGGGTCATGGGTTTTCAAGGTCAGTGCCCACTCTGCCCTGGTTCTTCAGTGTCAGAGCCCTGGGGGTAACCTCGTCAAGATGGTTCCCCACCCAGAGTTGCTGCTCTTAGGCTCTGAGAGGCAGTGAGGTTAGGGTGATTTCAGTTCTCGTTTTTTGGCTCATTTTACTTCCTGCTTCTGGCCCCTACAGAGCTCTGGGGCTGTGCAGGGAGGGGAGCGAGTCTCGAGTTGTAGAAATGCTGGGGTAGAGCACATGCGACCATGGGAGCCCCTTGGGTGAGATGAGAGAAGTGGGGCTCAAGACCTCAGCTACAAAGAGGACTTGGAATCCCAAGGTGGGGGGGCAGCCAGCATCTCCAGCCTCCCACCAGCATCTGGCCTTTACAAGGTGCTTTCTCAGTCTGTGGTGGGAATTGCTCTCACTTTATAGGCGTGGAAACCTAGGTGCAGAAAGGCTATCAGGCCGGCGTAGGTGAGCCAGCAAGGGGCCAGTCCCCCTAGCTGTCCCCTCTGCCCCCTCAGTGGCTCGGTCTAGAAGTGCCAGAGCTCCAGGTTTCACATGCAGTGGCTCAGACCCAGGCCTGTGAAGGTGGCGAGGAGGAGGAAGGCCAGTGGGGGTCAGACAGCATCCAAAGACCCCCGGAAGGGGGACGCAGTCTCCTCCCACTGTCCACAGGGACCCCGTGAAGGATGCTGGTCAGGACCAGAGCATGTTGGAAGAGCCCGTGGCTCTGTTCCCCGCAGCACTGCCCCTCCGGTCACTGCTGACCAAAATCCCCTCCCCATCCTTGGAAACACTTGCTCTGGTGTGGCTGGTCTGAGAGATTAGTCCCTGTCACACCTTTTACCATTCCGTTCTAAGCCCCCTCCCTGGTCCCATTTTCAGGGAAATTCAGTCTTAACAGTCCCTCCCGCGGTTTCAATGCTCTGGCTTCCGGCCACGCAGATGCCTTTCCACCCGAGAGGAGCTGCCCAGCTGTCCATCGCGCGTCCGTCCCCTGTGGTCCTCCTTCCTCTCCACCCCTTCCAAGGATAGGCTTATGTGCATTCAATCGTCTGTGGCCCGGACCTGTTTAAACATCAATATTGACCGCTGGGTCCCATTAAACTGGCCCCCATAGGAGCCGCGGGGGCAGCAAAAGGGTATTCCGGCGGGTAAGCATTTCCCATCCTGAGCTGGCTGGGAACAGACCTGCAGTTTTGGAACCAGTTTAAACATTATCGAAAAGAGGAAATTAAACATCAAGAGGCTAATTAAATCTTTTTAACGTTGCTTAATATGGTGCAAATTGGGCAGCTGTGTAGAGCCTCTTCTCAGCAACTGGATGAAGTCGGCGCAGGAGGCCTCCGGACCTCCCTCCCAAGGGGCTCCACGCTCAGGCGCTGCCCCAGAGCTTGGGGGGTTGGGGACGATGGAAGTGGGAGCTCCACCCCATCTTCCCTCTGCCACCTCCCCCCTTTGCAGGGGCTTCCCCCTAGAAAGTCCCTTCTGAAGGCTAACCTTGGTCACTGCTGTGTCTTGGGCCTGGATCTGGAAACCAAAGGGGAACCCCTGCCCTGAAGAACACCTTTAAGGGGCTGGAGGGGCCAACTCCTCTCTGAGTTTTGTAAAACCTGGATTTTACTCCAGAGCACACGATTCATTCCAGATGCGCCTCTGGCCTTCCCAGCTGCCCCCTCATTTCTTTCTTTTCCTTCTGTCTGCCTCCATTTTACACAAAATGTAAGGATAACACCTAACACTCTTATTTAGGGCAACAGCCCGTTACTTAGATGAGAAAACAGGTGTGGAGAATTAACTCGGTTTCCTCAGCCGGTTAGTGTGGGAGATGGCCTATGAACCCCGGGCTGTGACCGCAGGCCCTGGGGTAGCGAGGAGACTGGCACCCCTCTCCGAGCCTCCCACTTCCCCCACCTTCAGCCTCCTCCCAACCCCTTTCCACATTTCTCACCTGCCTAAGCCCCACCTACCCACAGCCTTGTTTGTCATCATCTTCACTTCTCCCTCCGAACTGATTTAAGGAGAGACCCACAGGGACTCAGCCAGCACCTGGATTTACACTCCGGCTGGGCTGGTGCCAGGGCTTCAGCAAGACCCCACAGGTGGCATCTCCCTGCTGGGGAGCTATAGCTTTTGCAGGCACCACTGAGAGGGCAAGAAGGTGGGGGTGTCTGGGGAGGAGGGCGGTTTTGGCCTTGGCACCAGAGGAGGACAAGGGCACACCCGGTGTGAGGGGAGGGGTGGGAAAGGGAGGGCCAGGCAGAGGGAGATAGGCACTGCCCTCTGATCCACAAGCCTAGATAGAGCTCCCAGGGAAAACGTCCTGGGAATTCTCACAGGAGACAGAGGTGGGGCAAAAGACCGCTTTTGTCTGCGCTGAACTGGAGGTGGCACTGGGACAGAAGGTCAAGACAATTTGTGACTTACACACAGGTTTATTCTTAGGCCCCCCCCTCAAACGGGGACTTAAGCTTTGTCATGCCAGCCTGAGCTGGCCGGGGCCTCCCCCATTCCACCACACCCAGAGTGGGATCAAAGATCAGCCTCCGGAGGGATGGCGCCTGGTAGGGGCCAGCCTCTCTCCTGGGGTGGTGCCCTGGTGGGCCCCAGGCAGAGGCAGCCGGCCAGCTCGCACCTTCAGGCAGGGGTGCCTGTGTCCCAATTGGCAAGCATGGTAGAAGGGCCGCTGTCCTAGCTAGCGCTCTGCGCCCGCAGCCTGCCCACCTCCTTCATGGCCACCTGCTCCGCCCAGCCCCGGGGCCACAGCCACGCGCGTAGGTCTCGGAAGGTGTGCGCCAGGGCCCGCCGGGACTCCCGCCGCAGGAGACAGTACAGCACTGGGTTCAGGCAGCTGTTGCTGTGTGCCAGGCAGGTGGTGACTGGGAAGACGTAGGTGTGAATGGTGTAGAAAGTGCTGTCCCAGGGCACCAGGTCAAACTTCACCAGGACACCCCAGAAAGTGACCACATGGTTGGGGAACCAGCAGAGGAAGAAGGAGGCCACCAGGATGCGGACAGAGCGGGCCACGGCCCTGCTGTCTTGCCGGCGCCGTTGCCGCCGGCGCAGGAAGGCCAGCAGCAGCAGATAGCTGGTGGTGGTGATGCCCAGGGGCACCACGAAGGCCAGGACCACCCTCTGCAGCTGGTAGGCCCCCAGCCAGTACCTGCTGGGGAAGCGCAGCAGGCACAGGCGTGCACCCCACAGCTCCCCCTCGGCCCCAAAGATGGCCGTGGGCACCGTCACCAGGGCGGCTGCCACCCACACTACCAGCGTGGCCACACGGGCCCAGAAGAGCGAGAGGTGGGTGCCTGGCCCTGCGGCCATGGTCACCACCCAGTACCGGGCGACACTCAGCGCCGTGATGAGGAAGATGCTGGCATAGATGTTGAGGACAGTGGCCGTCAGGACCGTCTTGCAGAGGGCACTGCCAAAGGGCCAGCGGAAGTCCAGTGCTGACTCGACTGCCCAGAACGGGAGCGTGAGTGCCAGCCCCAGGTCTGCCAGAGCCAGGTTGAAGACAAAAGTGTCAGACGGTGGACCGGGGGCTCGCCGAGTGCAGTTACCCAGCACCCACAGCACAGCCAAATTCCCCAGCAAGCCCACGGCCCCCACGAGCCCATAGGTCAGGGCAACCCCAACCCTCAGGACGAGGAATTCCACAGGCATGGCGGCGTCATCCACGCTCAGCACGCTGCCCGCAGAGCCGTTGCTCCATAACGCTGGCAGGGGTGCGGAGGTGTTGGGTGTGGGCATCTCAGGGCATCAGAGGTCCGCGGTGCTGTGCAGCAGGGGCCACTTGGGGATCTCAGCAGGAGGCTACAGACTCCAGTGCTTCTCTTGCTTCGCTTCTCGCTTCTCGCTTCTGGCTTCTCGGGGCCTCTGGCTGCTGGGAGCCCCAGCCCACACCCACACCTGCACTGGCGGGGTGTGGATGGGACAATCTGCCCCTCCCTGTTGGTCATGATGACTGGTGGGTGGAGCAAGGGGGGGACCCGGGGGGGGCCCAAGCTGGTGTGTGTGTGTGTGTGTGTGTGTGTGTGTGTGTGTGTGTGTGTGTGTAGGGCGCTCTGGGGCAGAGGGAGGAGCAGAGGGGGAATTACCCCACTATGAAGAGCAACCCCAAGCCTCAGCTCCATCGAGAGGGCCAGAGAAGACCCCGNTGTGGTGACCCCCAACCATAAAATTATTTTCGTTGCTACTCTATAACTGTAATTTTGCTACTGTTATGAATCGTAATGTAAATATCTTTTTGTTTTCTGATGGTCTTAGGCAACCCCTGTGAAAGGGGTCGCGACCTACAGGTTGAGAACTGCTGATGTAAAGTCATGGTGTAATATGTTTTTTGATATATTTGCAATTTCCCTAACGTCAAAAGAGAGAAGTTGAAGTAAAGCAAGTGAGGTTTAAAATGTCTGTAATTAGAATCTGTAGACCCAACTTTGTAATGACTGCCTAACTGAAGTGCAATTACACATGAAATAAATGACTAATTCACGTATGGGTGGTTTTGTTTTCGCACAATTGAGGAAATTATTTGGTCATTTTATAAAACCCTTGGTCTAATTAGAATCTTAGCACTAGGATGGATCTGAACTTTGAAGCCTTTTACGTACTTTGCCATCGAATGCAGGAATCGTCCTACAGGACAAGGAGCATAGTGGCTCTGTGTTCCTAGAATGCAAACTTTGCACTTAAAAAAAATCCCTACAATTCTATGGAGTGGATGATTGTCACTAGTTTACAAAGGAGGAGCATCAGGCTCATGAATGGGAAGTTGTGCAAGGCCTGTAGATGGTATGTCTACTTCAGACTCACCTCGGACGATGGGGTGTTCAGCTTTTGCTGGAAAGCCTCTAGAGTTGTAGAATTCGGTGTCTTCCAAAGCAGCCTATCCCATTGTATTTATAATTTGAAAATAAAAATTGTTTTGGCTTAAATTAAGATTTGCCTTCCTTGGTACCTGTGAAGAGATGAGTTCTGTATTTTTGAAAGTGCAATTCATGTGAAGTGATGGATATGTTCATTGGCATGTTTGTGGTGATTATTTCAATGTGTAGCATCAAGTTGTACATCTTAAGTGTATACAATTTTCAGTTTTTAATTATGCTTAGGTAAAGCTGGGGGAAAACAGAAAATGAAATTCTTTGTGAGCCCTCTGGTTTAGCAGTAGGTAACAGCCGAATGTTTATCAGTAGGCCATAACCTCTCTGGATGCTGAAATACTCATATTGTGCAGAATCGCTGTGAACGTTTAGTGAATTGCAAGTTTATTACTCGTCGTATTTTTATGGTTTGCAAAGATTGTGTGACTCAATTGTCCATTTCTTAGGTCTATGAGGAAATAATAAAAGGACACCGATGAAGATGGAATGCTGCTTGAATATTAAAATTCTTAATACTGATGTTAATTGTTTAGACTCATTTTTCTCTAAAAAGTAATCTTTGAAATGGTAAATGAACTCAGCAAGAGGCAGCATGGTGCATAAATGCTGGACTTAGAATCAGAATACCTAGGTTTAAAACCCAGAATCCCCCGTTTCTGGTTGGGTAGCTTTGATAGATGAGCCCCAGTTTCCTCATCTGTAATGGGATTGGTAATATATTATACTTGTGTGGTCCAGTCCAGTAGTCACTAGCCACATGTGGATATATAAATCACAGTTTGAATTAAAAATAAAATTAGAAATTTAGTTCTTTGGTCACATTAGCCACATTTCAAGCACTCAGTGGACATGTGACTAGTGACACCCATACTGGACTGCCAGAGAGCACTTAACGTCACCACCGAAGGTTCTGTCCGATGACACTGATAACCTTTAAAGGTGGCCAGAAGGCTTCAGTGAGACAAGGTGTGTAATGGGGTGGACTGTTAATTAGATGCCTTTGAAAGGTTTTTGAGATCTTGCAAGGATGGAATTGGTTGATTTTGATATGTTGTGATTATAGTGTTGGCACAAGGCCGCTTCCCATCACATGCATGTGACATGTGAGTTGTGCTTTGGACTCGACTGTGTATTTACTACATGCAGAGCCAGCCAGTCGAGCTGTAAAGCACCTTTCCTTTTGGAGTTTGCAGCTTCCAGTCCACAGACTTGCTGTAATTATGTGGTCATAAAAATGCACACATGACCAAGAGAAGTAGAGAAGTCTGACGATGACCTTCACGAAAACAGACTGAACTTAGGGTCATTTTAGTGAGGTTTAGTTTCCTTGTTAGTTTATTCATGAAGAATGACCAAGGAGTGTTTCCAAGGGCGTTTGCAGGCAGGTAAAGGAGGTGGCGGGACTTGGGAAAGGGTGGCTGTAAATTGGTCAATGGGAAGATACTATTTCATCCTATATACTTTTTAACCTGGTTCTTCACTTTGTAGCTTCAGGCCCCAGGCAAAGGTCTAACTAGCAATAAAAGCAAGGATGACCTGGTGGTTGCCGAAGTAGAGATCAATGACGTGCCTCTCACGTGTAGGAACTTGCTGACTCGAGGACAGACGCAAGACGAGGTGTGGAGCTGGTGGGCCTCTGGGGAAGCTGGTGGGTGGCTGTGGTTTCAGAAAAACAAGACTGCTAAATACAGACGACAGGAGTCAGGCATTGTTAGTGGAGTTGGGTCAGAGTCTCCAAAGTCAAGGCTGGGTGTAATTTAACTGCAGAGACTTCTTAGTGAAGGTAAAGAAACGGGTTGGCCTGGGTAGGGTATGGGGCAGGGGAATTGGAGTTTCAGATAGCGGCGAGAACTTCCTGCCTTGGGGGAATCAGTGGATGGGGATACTCTGTCCTGCTACCTGTCATTGAAATCAGCCAGTTGCCACATCATCTTTTTAATGGGATGTTTCCTTTTTAGATCAGCCGGCTTAGTGGGGCTGCAGTGTCAACTCGAGGGAGGTTCATGACAACAGAGGAGAAGACCAAAGTGGGACCAGGGTGTGTATGCTTGTCCTGTGCTTTGGGGAGGGCTGGGCACATGGCTCGCATTAGCTTCATAGTTTTCATTCTTCAGGAGTGTGTGTAAATGTTTGATTAGCAGCTTATACGGCAGCTCTTTGGTTACAGGTTTGTGTGTGTGTATGTGTATGTGTGTATACACTCTTTATCACAGAATTTGGGACATCTCCAACAGATGGAAGAAGTATTGCTGTTATTTTCTTTCCTATTGCTCTTTGGTTTTTTAATTTCACAATGTTTCTATTGATGGAAACAAATTACACGAAAGTATGAAAGGAGACAATTAACCTTTAATATATAGACTTCTAAACTTTTTTCCAATGGAAATAAATATTTTCCTTAACGGATGAGGTCATGTTTTGTTGTAATCTCCCTTTAAAAAACAAATTCTGGGCCGGCCGAGTGGCGCATTGGTTAAGAGCTGGCTTGGGATGCCAGAGGGCCCCGGTTNCAACTTGGGCCAGTGAAGCAACTTCCTCCACAACTAGACTGAAGAACAAAAGGATAGCAACTTGTCTGTTCCCCTTCCCCCAATTCCCCAATAAAAATCTTTAAAAAAAAAAAAAAGAGAAAGGGTTTTCTATAACAAGGTTACATTAAGTGCACTTTTCCCCCTATGCCTCTTCATCAGAGAAACCTGGGTCTCTGGGGACTGTGCTTTTCCTAATGCTCTGAAGAATAATCAACGCACTGCTATTCTCCCATTTTGCTAACAGGGCCCCCAGAGCTGTACCCTGTCTCCTGGTTTGTAACTGCTGACTTATCAGTCAGCAATGGGTTAATCCGTGCCAGACAGTTCCACAGTTCCACTGCGGGTCTGTGATTTGCAAACCCACTCATCAATTTCATTGTATATCCACACAATGGAATATTATTTGGCCATAAAAAGCAATGAAGTTCTGATACATGCTAGAACACGGATGAACCTTGAAAACATTAAGCTAAGTGAAAGAAGCCAGACTCAAAAGGTCACATATTCTGATTCCATTTATATGAAATGCCCAGAATAGGCAAATCCGTAAAGACAGGAAGTAGATTAGTGGTTGATGGTGGCGGCAGGAGAGGAAAATGGAAAGTGACTGTTAATTGCTGCAGGGTTGCTTTTGGGGTGATGAAAATTATGTGGCATTAGATAATGGTGATGGCTGCACAATTTGTGAATACACTACAGCCACTGAACTGTACATTTAAAGTACCTTTTTAAAAAAAGGTCAAGGGTTGGCCAAGTAGCTAAGATGGTGAACAACAGCTTGACCAGGAGCTGGGCTGCTGTGAGTCGCTGGCAACTGCGTAGGTTGCAGTGGAGCTGGCCGGCAGCGGGCGTGAGCTACCGTGAGCCACTGTGAGCGGCCGTACAATGGCTAGCAAGGCAACCAACTGCCTCACCCGGGAAGAGCACAATGATAATACCAACATGGGCCAGTGAAGCAACGTCCTCCACAACTCGACTGAAGAACAAAAGGACAGCAACTTGTCTGTTCCTTGTCTGTTCCTCTTCCCCAATTCCCCCAATAAAATCTTTAAAAACATAAAATAAAATAAAAATATATAAAAAGGTCAAATATATGGTGATGGAAGGAGAACTGACGCTGGATGGTGAACACACAATGTGATATATAGATGTATTACAGAATTGTACACTTGAAACCTATGTAACTTTATTAACCATTGTCACCCCAATAAACTTTAATTTAAAAAAAAGGGTATGTGCTGGCGAGGTTGTGGAGAAAAGGAAACCCTGGTGCACTGTTGGTGGGACTGCAGATTGGTGCAGCCA